TAGAGGCTTAAAATACTGGAATATTAATGCCCCTCAATCCATATTCAGCCACTTGAAAACTGGATTTGAGCCCAAACTTTTGTTCCTAGCAACTCCAACCCAAAATTTGTATTACTGTATTAGAAAAGATGAAGCATTACATGACTGGATTGATTTTCTGGTGATTACATAGATATAGCATTTATCTTCTATATATGCTCTGTGAAGAATTTTTCTTTCATTCCAAGCCTAAAAGCTCTCACTACTTACATGGAAATATTCTTACATCACAGTAAAGACAATTTGAATTAAAGAAATAAAGGTAGATATAAGTATAGATGTACATATATATGCATACTTATATATATGTACACATACACTTTCATATATATATATATATATACACACACACACATATGTTGTTTTTTTAAAGTACAGATGGTAAAAAAATACAAATATTTAAAATAATAATCTAGTTGGCAATTGAAAACTGATTTCAGAAATTCATAAATTGGACTAGACTTTCACCTTTCAAGTTTGAAGAATTTAACTCAGTGCTTTTGCGCTAAGCATTTTTGAATAAAGTTGATATGAAGTCTGACAAAAGCAATCTCATACCTTTTCCCCTTCCTCAAATATGAACATAAATTTTTTGCCATAGAAATGGTACAAAATTACCAAACGTGTTAATAATCTAGTATTCACAAAATCAGATATACTGCTGAAATCATGAGAAAAAAAATATTTTATTACATTAAATATTGAACTACACAATTATTATTTCAACTTTTTATCTTATCCCAGTCTGGACATTTTTGGAAGATCACCCAGAACCATGTCTTGATATACAAATAGTAATCTTGTGTCCAGCCAGGAAAAAAAAATCATTTATGTTTGACATGGTCAAAAGTTTTCTGCAAAATTTAAAAATACTGTAAATATAAGCTTGAAAAATTGCAGCAAAAGTAGTTGCATCTTCCATGGCAGAAACATCACAAAGGGAACAATTTTTATCAACAGGTATTTAATCTAATTCCAGGTTTTGGGACCAAGTCCACAGAATTAAATAGAGGTATATTGTCTGTTCATGTGGTTCTTCATTCTGAAGAGCCACATGTTTATCTGTGGATGTAAACTGTACTTCCCATGTAATCAGGACAATATGAGTCCAAGATAAAGTTTACAGTGCCATATCACTGAACACATCAGTGTTAGTTAACTTGTCAGCAGATTGGAAATAGATGCAATTCATTTTAGAGATACATAGCAGAACTACTAATGTTTGTAATTACTGTATTCAGATTTTTACTGTACAAAACAAAAATACTAAGAGAATGGCTTATTTCAATGACAAAAAGCCAGACTCACAAGAGCAAGGTAAATATTTTGCAAGTTCTTCAAGTCAATGGAATCCAGTTGTGTACTTACACAACTAGAAGCAAAATGTGGCCCATTAGCTGTAAGTTAAATAGTTAATTTGATAACCATTTAATTACAAACTTCATTACACTTTATTTCTTTGTATATTCAATTAACTAGGTGCCTCTTGTTCCTAGGACCTAAATATGCCTTTTTCTCTGCCCCATCTCTGTTCTGTTCAGTTTTAAGAATAAACAATTATTCTAAAGTGTAACAGTGCTTAGCATTTCTGGAGTATCATCATACTGCTAGAAATTCTGAAATGTAGCTAAATAATGAACAGGAAAAAAATAAATTACAAAGACTTGTAATATTAGGATACTATTTATACATAAATGGAAAAACCCACAAATATGTAAGACAGTATTGCTGGACTGTAAGGAGATCTGTGTGCTCTCTTTTCAGCAAAACACATTGCAAAGCTTCCTAGAAGGGTTGGGAAAAACAAATAGTGTGGCTGCCCCATTCAGACTGCTGCTATCCTGCCCACTTCTCTCACAGGAACGCCTCACTCATCTCCTCCTCCATCCTCTTGTCATTCCTTAGCTTGAGGTCCTGCATTTTCCAGGGTAAGTGGATGCTGCAGAATAGAGGTGCAAGTTCCCTACAATCAAATAATCAATCGAAATGTGACGACTGTTTGAAGGCTGACAGCTATGGCATTGTGTCTGCCATTCACTTCCTCTTCTCTCCCCATTTTTCTTGTTTAATGCCAGTAGTGCCAATAGCATTCTCAGCTCTGCATAAGACAGCAAAAGATTTCAGCCTCCTTCCCTGGTTTGGAGACGCTGTAATTCAGTATGCCACTCTGTAACCTAATGAAAGGCTATTCAGGTTCCCTGGAGACACGGAGCAATATAAAGAACCTGCCCTCTAAAAATGAAGGAGTTCTTGTTTACCCTGTCCTTCAGGATGTAGTGCCTTAATGGACTCGGCCCCCTGAGAGGGAACCATATGCATTAAACAGACTCTTAAGTTTCTGTAAGAAACAACATGCTGGTCAGACATTTTAGCTCCAGCTAAACAGAGATCTAACCAACCTACAAAACCAGGACTTAGCCTTCATTTTTTCTAACAACCACAAATAGCTATTCTCGCCTTTCCAGATATATCTTCTACATTGTGTTTATCATAAGCTCATTTTTATGCTCTTTAACCATTTTAAAAAATTACTTTAATAACTAAAAAATAACTAAATTATTATGTGATTTGAGAAAAGGTACCACTGTATCTGAATTCCTCTAAGAAATAACTATAGCTTTATAAAAAAGTTAAAACATAAGAAAACATTAAGAAATTAAATATTACAGTATGCAGAATGAACTGAAGATGTTTTCACAACCTTAAGTGACCATTAAAACACGGGATGGTAAAGATATACGTATTAAAAATAAAGGTGTGAGAATGTGGGCTCTAGAACTACTAAAGTGGAAGCTGCATTTTTGTCAGACTTTAAACTGATGAGAGGACTGACATAACATCTGGTGTTTCAAACAGTGTGTAGGAATGTCTAGAAATTACAGGCTATATCTTCTGGGATTAACCACTTGAAATTCAGCTCATTTTGTTAAAGACGAGAGTAAAATATGAAATAGGGAAGGGAAGGGAAGGGAAGGGAAGGGAAGGGAAGGGAAGGGAAGGGAAGGGAAGAGCAGGTCTCACTCATGTTTTGCTTCCAGTAATAACATTAAGAAACCAGGATTCTTTTCCTTTTTTTTTTTTTTTTTGCTGCTGTTGCTGTTCATCACAGAATTTCATGCATTTAGGAACTTTTGAAGTAAAATGTGAGACCACATGAGTGATTCAGTAAGCTCAACATTACTTGTCAAAACACAAAAAAAAAAAAAAAAAAAAAAGAAAAAAAAAAGAGGGGAATATCACTTTAGCAACTGACCTAAATCAGTGTTATAACGAACCTAAAATAATATTCAGAATTCTCAAAATAGGGTGGATTTTTCTTCAAACAAATTATTTTATCTCTTATCCTCTTTTTGAATCAGAGGGACATCTCCCTTTGCCAGTTTCTATTCCCATCTGCTTTGTCTTACAATAATTATCCACAGATGATATATCATTTTAGCCATTGAGTGGGAACTCCTACTTCCATTGAAGTCCTCATTCACAAATAGCCCTTTCAGATATGTCTCAGGATGATTACTAACTAAAGAATATTATTTTTCATTCTGTATTATTTTTTCAAGGATTTATCTTCAGGAATGCACTTTATGTAGGCAATTGATGTAATTTAATCTTTTTCTCCAGTAACACAAGTGATAACATGTTTTTTTTCTACTGAAGGTGAGTTGTCAAAAAGATTTAGATTAATTGTTCTGGTTGTAGAGTAGGCCATTAGAAAAATCCTTCATTAGCAGTTATCAAATGCACGTAGAACACATGAAGCAGCAGTAGTACCGACCTCAGAAATGGCAGCATCAGAATGCAAACACAAACAGAACGTCAAGGGATTTCTTTCAGCTATTTCTTACAAATCCAAGCAATTCCTGCTCATTTACTCATTTGCGGATGCTGCCTCTTTGTGGCAGAATGCCATGCAAAACGTACCTTTCACACTAAGGACCTCATCCCATGCTGGTACTGACACCTATGCAAACTCATAAACATGAGTTTAGAACCACACAGGAAAGATATATATACACACATGAACAGACACAAAGTTTGCAGGAGCTTCTCCTTCAATCCTCTCTGAACTAGCCTTTCTCTGGCAAACTCAGCGAGGCTGAAAATTTTCTTACTTATACCCATTTAACGACAGCATGCCTCTACTGAGCTTAAATGGAAGAAGAACCAGGCCACTGGTTTCAGCAATAGTTATAAAGACAGCAATTCAAAGTTAGGGCTCCAAAACTGCACCTCAGGCAGCCACACACACATCTCTCACTGGTGTCAATGGGAAGTCTGCAGGATGGAGAGCAGTGAACAGAATAGCCATTTGTTATGTCTCTTGTGACAAAAGAACACTCCTCAGCTCTGCATTTCAAACTGAAATAACACTCCACTTACTAAACCGTCCAAGCTAAATACAGTCATGCTTGTTTTTTGATTTTTTTTTTGCTTTTGCTCGGTGTGGGTGGCACAGAGGGAAGAACACACGCCAAGAAAACATTTTTCTTGAATTCCAACAGACCAGTTATACAGCTTTGTTTTTGTAGAAAGTGACAGATTGTACATGGGTAGGAAATTCAGAATAGAACAGAGCCCTTTAGCAATAAAAGATGTACTAGTGAGCAACTCTGGAAACAATATTAAATATAATAACCAATGAAGAAAGAAAAGACATGTGAAATACCACTTACCCTGTTCCATATATTAAAGAACACCTCAGTAAGGAAACAAAACACAAATATAAAACTATCCTGTTCAATATGTTGTTGAAACATATACCCCTGTGTTGCTTTCTGACCCATGTTATATATGCTGGTAATCACCACATGTCATGTTTCGAAAACAGAGAACACATTATGTTTTGCCTAGAACATTAGATCTTTCTGATGAGCCTTAATTGCTAGTAAAGAGAATCCAATGTACAAACAGATTATTTTGGCCAGAAATTTTAAAGTTCAGATACTCATTACTTCAGGATCTTACATTTGAAATATTTACCAAGTGTTTATTCAGAAACTATTAAAAAATCACATGTGCTGGGATACATATGAGACATCAGTTGTCCCATCTTACAGTGATGCTGTGTTTATGAATATCCTTGCCATTGCCTGCTGCCCAAAGGGGTAAAGACATTTTATAGAGATGTGTACAGTCCATCATTTGGTCTTTCAGGATGCCAGTAAACATGTGGATCTGTACAAGTGCAATTGTACTCGACTAAACAATCATAAACTGGCTACAACAGTTGCAAAATCATTATATTTTGGTTAACTAATACAAAATTTTTTTAAAAAAAGAAAAAAAAAGAAACCGACAAATCAAAAATGAACCTTTTTTAACTGATAAAATGAATGCCTTCTACATGTCCCTCACTAGTTTGCCCAACCACACTCCTGAGCAGGAGGTTGCTAAAAGACACATTTTTTCAATAGAGAAACATGATTTTTTTCCTATTGTGATCAGATTTTATGTCTCCGATTGTCTGTTAAGATTTGGTCATTACTGGCATTATCTATAGAGATTTAAAAGGTCCTCTGATACTATATCAGATTTGGGAAAAAAGCTCTCACTGTAGTGCAATACTTTAAAGCAATCCACAACCATTGGACCCCATCCTAAAAAAAAAAAAAAAAAAAGAAAGAAAGAAACACTCAAACATTCCAGTATTTTTACTTGTAAGAAGAATTCTGCATCCTCTTTCCTAATTTTTTGGGCTTTTGACAAACTTTGCCCAATGAGTGAGTCTCCAGAACTACACGCATTGGTAAAGTTGTCCATGTGCTTAAGTGCCTGCAGGATGAAGGCCTAAGCTGGGACTTCTTTCACAAATAGAGATACTCAAGTGAGTTAAAAATTTGCAAGATTAGGCCCTAAAATAGTGAAGGAAAGAGAAATGCTAATGTGCATATAAAAATAGGTGCTACAATAAAATATTTTTTTTATATTTCATCAATAAGTTATTTTCACTAACCAGTTATGGATCATATATCTCTGCACTCTTTAATGATTTGTCCACATCTACAGTGATCCCTTTAAAGATCATAATATATATTTTTTTTTTAATTCAAAAGTCCAGAAAGTATACAAACACATCCTTAAAAAAAGGAAACCTTGTATTAAAGTCGGGGTGTGCTAATCTCTCCATAAAAGCCATTTAGACTCACCCATGGCTAAAAGGGGAAAATGTGCGCTGTACTCTTCAACCAGAGAGAAAATTAAACTAAAGAATGTCTGTAAAAAAAAAAGAAAAAAAAAGAAAATAAAAGCACGACCTGAATCCTGAATGTGACCTGACAAGAAACCATGAAACCTCCTGCCACCTTCCCCAAACACACATGGACACCCGCACAGTGCCAGTGCTGTGCCCATTTCACACAATAGGTGGTCTCCGACTTCCAAATGCAGTAACAGAAAAGAAAAACCAAAACCAAACCAAACTGAACAGCACACCCTTTCAGAATCATTCCCCGAAGCTGAAAAGTCCTGTGCCAAGGCACTTCACCCTACAATAAAATGAATTAAAGGGGGAAAAAGGGGGGGGGGGGGGGGGGCGAGGTGTGTGTGTGTAGGGAGGTCAGCATTTACGTTTCTTTGTTTTGCGTGTGGTTGTTAAATACAAATACTCTAGAGAAGGAGCTGCTGAGACTGGCGAGGGGACGGGGGGCGGGGGGGCTGTTTCTCAGAACTGGCTGAATGTGGTCTGTTTTTCCAGCACTTCGAGGTAGTCCGGCTCTGCGTTTAGTTTTGCTTTTAGCTCCAGATACTCGTTCCTGTTGGGCTCTACAAAGACAGTACTCGGGGGGCTGTAGAGCACCGTCTCCCGGAGCCTGGCGTCCCCCGGCCCCGGGTGCAAGTACTGGTGGGCACGCCTAAGGTCATAGTTGGGCGAGTACGTGTAGGCGGCGGGGAGCTTGGGGTAGTCGGGGAGGGTGGAGCCGGGGGTGCCCAGCGTGGATGGGGAGTGTTTGTCGGGCTCCAAAATGCCCCTGTAAAAGCGGTCGGCGTCTTGCACCGGCGAGAGCAGCTCCTCCCGCGGCTCGATGGTGCTCACGCTGTACGCGGGGCTGCGCGCCGGCGCATCCTCCCCGCCGGGCGCCGCGGGCGGCGGGGGCGGCGGCGCGCCCCCCCCGGGCGGCAGCGGGTGGCTGCTGTAGGTGACCTTGAGCTCGTGAAGGTCTTTGTAATCCTCGCCCGAGTTGCCCTCCCGGGAGCGGTAGATGGGGTTCTTGCACATGTGGCCCAGCGGGTGCGGGATGTACTCGTAGACGTGGCCGGCGGGGGTCTTCACCTTGGGCAGCGCCGCGCCGCCGCCGCCGCCGCCGCCGCCGCCGCCGCGGTGGGGCGGGTGCTGCTGGAGGTGCGGGTGGTGGTGGTGGCCGCCGCCGCTGTAGACGCTGTACTGCATGTTGAAGGAGCTCACGTCGGAGTTGTTGGCGCTGGCGTGGTCGCCCTGGCCCTTCTTGCGCCGCTTCATGACCAGGACGAAGAGCCCCGCCGCCACGAAGACGGACATGATGAAGACGAGCAGCAGGCTGAGGATCAGCACCGAGAGCGGCACCGAGGAGCTGCCGCCGCCGGCGCCGCCCGCGGGCGCGGAGCCGCCCGCCGCCGCCGCCGTGCCATTGAGGCGCACGGTGGAGGAGGAGGGGGTGGTCCTGGCCGGCAGCTGGCCCGGGGACGGCGTGGGCGTGGAGACGACGATGTCCGAGTAGTCGGGGCACAGCAGCTCCGCCCGGACGGCCCGCATGTCGCTCTGGGCAAACTTCTTAGGGGACTCGCAGATCACCTGGTCCACCAGGACACCGGTGTTGAGCTGTTCCAGCCACAGCTTCATGCCCACCACGTCGCAGGTGCAGTCCCAGGGGTTCTCGTGCAGGTCGATCTGCAGCAGGGATTTCAGCTGGTCCAGCACCCCGCTCACCGGCAGGTAGGAGAAGTGGTTGCTCCGCAGGCTCAGCCTGTAGAGAGACAGACCAGAAAAAATGTTCCCTGGCAAAGACCTCAGCAGATTGTTGTTCAAAAACAAGAGCTGAAGGTTGGGGACGGATTCAAAGGTGCCTGCCTCTATCTCCCGGATGACATTGTACTGCAGGAAGAGGTACTGCAGGCTTTGCAGCCCATAGAACAACTCTGGGCTCAGCCGCTCGATCCGGTTCCCGTTCAGGTACAGCCTTCGCAAATTAGTTAAATCCCCAAAAGCCCGGTCCTGAATGACCGAGATCCGATTATTGCCCAGATGCAGCAAATCCAGCCCAGTGGCATCCACAAAATCTGCCCTGCGTACCAGCGCAATGTAGTTTTCCGTCAAATACATCTTCTTGGGATTATAGGGTTTGGGCTGCAGTTCAGAAATGCTCTCAATCTTCCTCTCCTGACAATTGACATTGAGGCCCAGGTCAGAAATCTGCAAGTTGCAAGTGCAGGCAGTGGGGCACTCCAAAGGCACCGGGGATTTGGTCTGGTAGGCAATGCTGGGGCCATAGTTGCTGTATCCCAGGTCTTTCGAGGGCAGGCGGGAGGTGGGGCGCACCCTTGTCTTGTTGGGTTGGCGGGTCCCTTTGGGGGGCTTCAGGGGAGATTTGTAAACAGCTGAAGAAGAAGTGGCCACAGAGTTGACCGAGGCCGGGGTAGTGTGGAAATACCCTGTAGTGCTCAGTGGTGTCTGAGGTCTCATTTCATAATCAGAGATGAGCCTCCTGGGGCAAAGCTCCTGCTTAGAGACTTCATCCAAGTCTCGACCATGTAAGCGGAAAGGGGTCTCGCAAACCACGTCTCCCACCAGCGCGGAGTATGAGATGCTGTCCAGCCAATCCTTTAGAGCAATCAACTCACAAGAGCAATTCCAGGGGTTTTCCTCCAGCTGCAGCTCCACCACTTTATCCATGTGCTGCAGGAGGCCCACATAGGGCAGCAGCTTCAGCCGGTTACCCCTCAGGTCCAGGTGAGTTAAGGGCACAAAACGGAAAAGGTTGTTGGGCAAACTGGAGAGGAGGTTATCATTGAGAATCAGCACCTGCAACAGATGCAGTTTGCTGAAGGCATTGGGTTCAATGACACTAATGTAATTATAATCGACCTGTAGGTATTCCAAACTCTCTAGCCCAAGGAAAGTGTCATCCCGTAAAAGTTCCAACTTGTTATTGTTCAAGTGCAGCCTCCTTAAGCCTCTCAGACCATGAAAGGCCCCAGTTTCGATGTCTTGTATGTCATTGCTCCCCAGATGTAAAATCGAAGCCCCCGTGTAATTGACAAACTGGTTTGGGTACAGCCTGTTCAGCAGGTTCCCAGACAACAAGAGGTGGTAAACAGGGAACCTCGGTGGACTGATCTCAAAAAGGCTGATGATCCCTCTGTTTTCACAGCTCACTGTTAAGATGCTGTCCTTCTCCTCACAAGGACACGCATTATCACAGATTTCCCCATAATACTCGATGCTTTCTGCCCAGGAAAGGACTAGTGATGTTAAAGCAAATGCGATCGTCTGCAGCATCCAGATATGCATTTTTTTGTTGAGGTCCTGTTCCAAAGTTACTGTAGAGCAGCAAGCATGCATTTTATTTCCTGTAGGGATAAGGAGAAAAAAAAAAAAAAGTAGCATAATAGGGTAGCCCCATAACATTTGAAATGGAAACAAAGTTTATATGTGTCTTCAGTAGGGTAGAGAATGGACTGCTGTTCACCAACCAAAAAACCCCCCTCCTGTCACTTCTAATTCACACACTTTTGGAAACTGGATGACATGCCTTGATTAAAGGGTTGATAGGCAACTCCTTCTGAGTCAAATGCCTGCGGTGTCTAAAAAGGTGAGGTCACAGTAGGAATTGCTCTGGTTCTGTTAGTGTGGGGTGAATTTCAATGCTTCTTTGGATTTCCTGTTCACAACCAGACCCATAAATATACATAAAATGGCTGTCAGTTCAGTTTCACGTTTCTAATTTAAGAGAAAAGAAACACCATTTTACGAGGTTTCCCACCTCCCCTATTACCCAGCTCCCTCTTCCCTTCAGAACCTCCCTGCTGAACCAGTGCACCAAGGTCTTCCCCTCCTTTTACCTTGATTTTAAACTGGTGATGGAAATACCATGGTAGGAATCCAAAGAAAAAATGCTCAGTGCTGAAAATGGCATCTTAATTCAACAGAGGGAACACTGACACATTCTCCACATCACACATTTTTTAAAACTCTTTTATGCTGGTGGTTTTTTCCCCAGCTATACATTTACAAAGCACACACCCACCCACACAGACATGCACACACGCGCGCACACACACACACATGCACACACGCTCGCACCCCCAGATGACTTCTGTGCAGGAATTCTTCTGTGATGAGATTAAATACATTAACCTCCTACTTCAGTGCACTTAACAGCTCTCTTCAATTACGGAAATTGTGCATCTTTACAAAAGCAAGTAATATTAATTGATATGTGACCCCCTCCCAAGTTATACACAATGTAACAGAGCTCATTTCAAGCAGAAGTCTCCTGTTTTCTCTCTCACACACACACACATACATACTCTCAAAAGAAATGTTTTAACCACTCACCCAAAATTTGTGAAAAATGTAAAACATGCAGGTCATCTTCGGAGTCTCATCCATATCTGACATAGCGCTTATTCCCAATGTTCTGCAAAACTAGCCTGGTAGAAGTGGAGAGATCTAAATAGGTCTCATGAAAATATCTCATTGCCAACACTCCAAACATCAGAGTTACTGATTATAAGCAGCGATGGCTGTCAGTGCTCTTCATCCTTTAGGGAAGAAGACACCCAGGCTGATTAAAAGCCAAGGAGGGTAGAAGGGAAACCCTACCATTGCCCTACGTCAGTAATTTAATGTCCGAATTCCACCTAGCTGGAAACAAATCCTTTCCTTTTTTGCTGTCTTTCTGACTCCTCGTGGCTTTCTTCTACTTCTACTAGTCTAAAAGCAATATGAATAGGGAAAATAAATGCATTTTGTGTGTCGGTAGGGGAAGACTAAGAAATCATCAGGTTTAAATGCTGGGATCTTGGACCAGGCTTGCATTTTCTATCGTCCACCTCAGAGCTCCAATCCTCATGACACAACTCTGGTTTGGAGGAACGCATCCTAAAAAACGAGAAGTCTCAGTGCTGCAAGACATCTCCTGTGGCATCAGGTTCAAGGCTGCAAAACTAGCACTTGCAGCAAAGGCAATCATGCAGCAAGAAATCGGAAGTCTCCGTGAATCTCTCTAATTCTGACCAGACGTCAACTGGATTGGAATTACTCAAAGCAAAAAGGCTTCACTGCATAGAGGCAGCAGAAATCTTACTCAAAGGCATGTATCTAGCATATTTTTTCTCAGCTCGATCAGATCCATTCATCCATTAGCCAACAGTTCTTCGGAGAAGAAGAAAAAAAAAAACCCACAATGACAACCTATTGAAAACCTGCCCGGTCAGTGTTAAACTCCCAGGCATTTTACAACTTTAATTCAATTATGGTTAGCAAAAGAGGCAAATACAATTTTCCCTCCCTCTCCCTTTCCCCTTTCTCTGACAAAAAAAAAAAAAAAAAAAAAAAAAGAAAAAAGGCGGGGGATGGGAGGTAAAGAAAATAAAGTTGTAGCTGGCTATATGCAAGGTTGCAATCCCGCCCTGGAAACCCCTCTGTGATGACTGTGTGCTGCTGTTCGCCAGCTCCCTACAGAGGTTCAGATTGAGGGGGGGCAGGCAGGGGGTGGGGGCGACGGGGGGGAGGGGAGAAGAGGAAAGGGGTTGCATCGGGATTTTTCTTGCGTGTGTGTGTGTGTGGTTTTTTTTTTTTTTCTCCCCGAAGAGTTCAACCCTTAGATTACCGCACTGCATATCCGGCTGGAAGCAGCTTTCAGTACCGCCGACAGCAGCAGCGAGCGAGAGAGCAGCTCCAGCCGGACACTGCCGCCCAACTGAGCAGCACCCCGAGTTGGGAGAAATGGCTTTGGCGGAAGGGGGGCGAGCGGCGGGGAGCTGGGGGTGGAAAGCAACAGCAAGGGAAGACCCGGCGGGGAAGGGGCGGGGGGGGGGGGGGGGAGGGAATCGACGAGGAAAGGAAGGGAGGAAGAAAGGAGGGAAAGAGAGCGAGAGAAAAGTCAAGCCCGGTACTTACTTCGCCCGAAATCTCCAGGGCCCAAGCATGGTGGCAGCCCATGAAGATGCCGACCCGCTGCGCGGGCGCTGCGCGGAGCCGCCGGGGCGGCGGAGGCGAGGATGGCAGCGCCGGGGAGCTCGGTGCGGAGCGCGCACGGGCACCCCCCGCACGCAGGCGGCGCCGAGGCACAGCGCGCGCTCAGGGGCGCGCACACGCGGCCACACGCGCCGCACACTCACCCTCACACACGCGCGCGCGCGCGCGCGCCCGGGGAGCCGCGGGGGCGCGCCCGCCGCGCACGCGCGGCTCGGCGGCGCGCGCCCGCACGGCGGGGGCGGGGGCGGCCGGCGGAGCGCCGCGCTGTGCCCGCGCCGCCGAGCGCAGCGGGGAGGCGGAGGGAGGGCAGCGAGGGCGGGGCGGCGGCGCCGAGCGGGCGCGGGGGGGGCGGGAGCGCAGGGGCCGCGGCGGGGGCCGCGCTGCCGGGCGGGTGGCCCCGGGTGACGGCGCGGCGGCGGCGGCGGCAGCGGCGGCAGCAGCCGGCCCCGTGGGGCGTCGCGCAGCCGGCCCGCACCGGCACCCAGCGCACGGGCACACGCAGGCACACACATGCCGATACGAGCGCGGCGCGCCCGCCCCGCCACTCCTCCGCCCCACGCACGCCGGGGCTGCGCTCGCACTTTCGCCAGCACGGGCCAACTTTCCCCCGCTCCTGCACCGCTCTGGACGCCGCTCCCGCTGCCCGCACCCCTCGGGCGGAGGTCCGCGGTCGTCCCGTCCTCTCCCGTAGCGCTCGCTGGCCGCGGCCGGGCGGCGCGGAGAGGAGCCGCGGGGAGGGGGGCGGCGGGAGCCGCTGGCGCGGCGGTCGCCACCGCCGCTGCTCGCTGCGCGGAGCCTGTGCAGCATTCCCGGGGACCGCGGGGAATTGGGCAGTGGCGAGGAAACAAAGTGTCGGGTTTCGCTACGCCCATTCTCCGACATCGGGGACGCGGGCATGTGTCGGAGCCGTTCAGCTTCACTTTTCTCCTCTGCCCACCCCAGAGGCGGGTCGCGGAGGGAGCCGGGGCACAGATGCACCAGCGGCATCTAAAGGACTCCGGCCACCCCCCCTGCCCGCCGGGCCGCTCCCGCGGCAGCGCCGGGGCCCGCGGAGCCGGCCGCGCTGCCGGGCGCTCCGGGCGCGGTGCGGCGCCTCCCGCCGCCGCCAGGTGGCAGCGCAGGGCGGCGGATGGGCCCGCGGGCGCAGCGCGGCGGGAGCGGCCGCGGCGGGGAGCGGGAGGCGGCGCCGCGGGGAGCGCGTTCCCTTCGTTCCCGGGGGATGACCGCCGTTGTTGGGTGTGCATGCGGGGCCGCAGCCGGTTTTTTGGGGCTGAGGCTGGCTGTAGCTCTGGGAATGCTTCTTTTTCCGGTTAAACTTCGGGTTTTATTAATTTGGCAAAATTGCGTGTTTGGCTAAAAAAAAAAAAAATTGCGTGTTTGTTAAAAAGAAAAAGATAATAATTAGAAGGCGGTATAATTGCGTACGTGCAAAGATGTGCATGTGTTTACATTTGCGTATTAATTGCTGCTGTGTGCTGTCTGGATTGTAGTACATAAATCTAGTAGTACATACCACATAAATGTAGTAATTCAAATGGTGTTATGCACACAGGGACACATGGAGTTCACCCCATGTGTACAGCACAGAGGTTGGAATCCAGCTTTAACTCAAAGGTAATGCTAGATGTGTGTGTCCCTCTGTTTTTCCTGTTCGAGTGTAAGCATTGAGCAATACTCTGTCTGTGGTATGTGATTTCTGCACATCTGTATCTTCAGCAGACCTCTGTTAACTCATGTCTTAACATCCCAACATGCTAAACCCAAAAATGATTGCTAAAAAATTGTCTTTTTTGTAATGCCCAGCCATCCCTAAAAGGCATATTCATCTCTGCAAACATAAAAGGAGTGTGACTCAAATCTTGTTTCCCTAGGTCTGAAACAAGCAAGATCTGTTTTTTGGATGGAAGACAGATTTCTTAGATGAACCAGGTAATTTTCCTGGCCTTGTAGAAGCTCTTGGAAATCTCAGTGGGACAAAATACTTATATTCTTGAAGTATCACTGAGTTTACTGTTTTGATGCAAACCCAGTCAATGCAGTGGAAGGTTTTAAATGGTTTTAGATTGTGTTCCAAGGTGCTAGTTTCAGTCAGGAAAAAATACCAAACCACACCCCATACAGGTGTGTAGGTGTTTTTTTTCCACCTATAGGCTCTTTTAAGCTTTCTAATATGCAACATGGAATTGATGATAGTGGAACAAAAAAAATCACAGATACTGAACAGATCATGAGATGTCCTACAGGAGTTTCTTATAGCCTCAATATTTTTGAAAAATATCTTTCTTTTGAATTAATAATTTTGCATTTTGAATATATGGGATTCTATGCAAATATGCTTGCATTTTTTAGCCCTGTCATATTTATAGCATCTATCTGTGATTCTCTAAGCTATTTTTCTCTCTGACACACAAAATTAGACACACATAAAAACTTTTTTATTCATAACAGAGAAAGATATTTTACATAACCTTGTCAGCTAGGCTGAGTCTAACTCCTTCTTGAAATTGTTTTGGAGAAGTTGACATTTCATAACTCTGAAATCATGTTAAAAGCTATCATGTTAAAGTCAACATTGTAGATATATTTCAGTTTAATTTTTCTGATCCTGTACTAGTGAGATATTAAAAAGCATAATCAGTAGAAAGTCTGACTTAATAAAATCTTACTTTCAAGTTGTTACACTGCTAGATGGTTTTAGTAGCATGTGGGAGATTTAAATAGTTATTAGTGTAGAACTATCATGCTGTTGTTCCATTCATTCTTATTCTTAGTCCAAAAGTATTTCTGGCAGTGAAAAGTTATATCTGAGTATTTGAACTAGAACTGTCATTTTAAACCAAAGCAAAAACATCAAACAGTAAATAATACTAAATTTGTGATTTTTTTTTAATTGTAGTGTTGCCTCTTGCTAATTTATTTTTAATCTATCTTTCATTAAACAGAGAAATCCTAAACTCCTTTTAACTGAAATACTCAGAAAGAAAGTTGGAAATAACTAATAAATCTTCATATGGAATACAAGTAGAGAGACCTGAGTGAGAATGGAGCCAGAGTAAAGATAGTTCAACGAAGGCGTATGAGGCATACATGCATTAAATATACAACTTGCAAGTGTTCAGGTCTACCTTCTTTCTATAGTGCTTCAATTTATAACATTGGCAGGAACAGCTGATCAAGCATGTGGAATCAGACATGGGAAAACAGGAATTTGGAGGTTCCAAACTTGTTGAATGAAATCTATTGGAACAGAAGAATAGACACTCTTTATGAAAGACAAAGTGTTGAAATAATTTCATGGTCATGCACTAAAACACGTTAAGGAGTGAAAATAAAAATGTTAGAAAATAAAAAGTGCAATAAAAATGTTAAATTTGAGGGTGAAGATGAGATAGTGTCCACTTGAAAAAAAATTATTGAGCAAAGGGTAGGAAAAATACTAGGGATGCTCTCTATTATGAATCTGCTGGTCCAGATTGGAGCTGGAAAACAATGCCTACAAATATGGGGAGGGGGGAAATAAAGCTAAGGCTGGGATTGTGTGATCATGCAGATTTGTGTTATTTCTTATGGGCAAGCATCAGCAGAAAGTTCAAGCAGTGTTGCTGGGGATGACATGAATTTATCATGATAGAGGATAGCTTCTTTTATGGAACAGATATTGGGCAAGCAAGAGACAAGGATAAATTAGATTAAATTGTAGTAAATTATAGGATCTGCAGGACAAACTAATGATAGAAAAAAAAAAATAATGGTTTTGAGCTTTTCTACTTCATGTGAAATTTCAAGACCGAAGAATGTGAAGGATCTGTTGCTATAGTCCAGTGTTTCAGAAAGGCAAACTCAGAAATAAAAAACTTTAGTGAGTACTGGAAGAAGAATTCAGATAAGAAAAATGCTACTTTATGTAAAAAAGAGAGCAGATATTATTGAATTTTTTACAGTGGAGAAGAAGGGGAGAAACAAAATAGTCCACCTAAACTGGAATGTAAAAGAATTCCCAAAAGGTAGAAGCCTTAAGCAAGTTATTAAGAGTAAGCACAAAACCTAAAAAGAATGAAAAAGAGATACTGATTAGCAAGAAGAATTCTGCATCAATAATTAGAAGGCATAAAACCAAACTGAGAATGGTCAGAAACCTTGTTAAACCAAAACTTGCATAGAAATAGAGTAAGAACATGTTAAGCAATGTAAATAAAATGAGAACTTAAGACGTGGGCAAGTTGGAAAGGAAAGGGTTTTTAAAGGATGGGGTGGACATTAACAATAAAGTAGGCCCAGACCAAATAGGTGCCAGAAAAGTTGCCTCAGTTTCTGGTAAGAAGAGATGTAAATTTTGTTGTCTAGTGTAAGTAGGAATAGGGTAAGAGAAATCCTCAGTGTATTGTGGCACAAGCATTTGGTCCAGCAGTTTTATGTCCTAGAATAGGATCAGCTGTTTTGTAATACACATAGCACTGATTTAAGGGTGTAAGGTAAGTGTGTCTGGACAGAAATTTTAGACAAAATTAGAGGTCTTTCTGAGAAACAGATGTGTTGAGATACATACATATACGTGCAAATTCTCTCTCTCTCTCTCCCTATATATATATATACATACATACTATGTAAATATTTTACAATTTTAGTGTTATTGTCTATATTCTAACATGTCAGTATTTCTAAATTCAATTCATGTCTGTCTGTATATTGCTTTTCTTTTGGTCTAGGCTGATAGAAATAGTGTGAAATTGAATAATGCATTCTACAAACTCCTGAATTAGAACTTTTACTATAAACTGGGAAAATCCAAGTCTATAAAAAATTTCAGAAATTTAAAGCTAGTAGTCAATCAGGAAGGGGTTAGAGGTTGCTATTATAAATTAAGTACTTTCATAAAGGGAAAAGGAAAATGTAATTTTATGATGTATTAGGCAGGATGTCATAATAGGTAAGGCATTATTAGTATTGTAAAGGATGTGCTTTTTCATGAGTTCCTGGTGTATTATGTGTGGTTCTAGTCATATATTCAAAGAAGATACTAAAATGAAGTCTAAAGATCAGGAAGAAACTATGGTAATTGGGGCATGGAAAATGTGTCTACAGAAGAGAGATTAAAAAAAAAAAAAGAATACATAGCCAAATAGATATTGAAAGGACATATGAGTCCTTACAAATTCATTTTCAGTTAAATGCTAAAAGAAAACCTCAAAAACCTAAACAAAACAGAATGTATTTGAACTGAAGAGGGATGTTGACATGCCATCAAATGCATATGTGTTGGTTTTAAAACCTAGGAAAGGGAAGAAGTTTACAGTCTGTCTGGGACTGGAAAGGTCTTCCAAATAGGTAATCAGGCCAACAAAGTTTTTTTTTTAAATAGAACTTGAAAAAAAAAACCTTTGTAATTGAATGGGACAGTTCGTGTTAGAAAAGGTACATTTGTGGCAAGTTGGAAAGGAAAGGGCTTTTTGAAGAAGTTGGAATATGTTTTTTCTACACTTACACTGTATCTCTTCTCTGCCTGAGGGCTTACTGCAGGCTCTCAGGTCAGGTAGGATGTTTTCTCCCTTTATTGTATAATTTAGGTTCTGAGTTATGTTAATTTCTTTCTTTCTTTTGTTCTGCTTTGTATAGGGGACATGTATCTCCTAGAACATTCTGCAGAGAAGTTCTCACATATTTCCTCCTGTTGAGGGGGTCTCCACAGACCATTGGCAGTGCCCTTTATTCTCTTCTTCCTCCCTTTTTTCTTTTTTCCCGAGGAAGATTTGAGGTTTGGCTTTTGTTCTTTACTGCAAATTAAAGAATTAAAGGTTTTGAATCAGTGGGTAGTACCATCTGGACCAAAAGTTCTGTAGATCTGGTTTTTTTTCAACTAAATATTAAGTGTATTGTAACTCTCAATTGTGAGAATGTAGAAATGTAGATAGTCCTTTTCAGCAATATGCTTCTGTTACTACTTATGAAAATCAAATTCATCTCAGTTCCATTACCTCAAAAATACTAGCTAAATTTCCAGCATTTTCAGTAGGACATGGCATGGATTAAGTGGCATACTGCAAAAAAAATCTCTGAAATTTCCTAAACTATTCTGTCATTATACAATTGCTCTGACTTTTCAGTTTCTCTTATCTCCTTGCTATGCTTAGGATTATCAAATAATTAAACTTATTTCATGTCAAATATGTCTAATGTAAGGTACCTAATCTATCCATAATAACTGAAATAAAGGATTTTGTTTTCTTCTGTATATGAGCACTTCCTCTGGGATAGCTTCTTAGTTTTTCTGGTGGAAGTTGTAGAGTAGGAAAAGAGGTTTATTTATATCCTTGCATAGAGGGGTAACCTTAAGATATAAATCTATTAGGCTGTTATTTTCTTTATGCTTTGATTTTGTTACACTAAGAAAAACATATTTACCAGGAGGAACTCGGAGAAATATCAGATGTTTTCTGCCTTAATGCTTAAAACACTCAAGAGAAGGAGCAGGCTTAAAATTTCTACACCACATTAGTTAGCAAAAATTCAAACATGATTAGTGTACTCTCCCTCAAACACAGAACCTGACCTGTCCCACCCTTGTTCACTTTGGAGAAGTTGAGCATCCCATGAGAATTTCTAATGATCTGTTCCTCACAAGTGACAAAACCAGGGAAAGTCAGAAATTGAAAATTGGGGATTATGTGGAAATTAGGCTTCCAAGTGATTCAGTAATATTAATATCATTCCTGATGTCTTTGAAAAAGATTGCTGCAAGACATACAGCAAGAAATGTTGATCCTTGAGGCACATGAATGTGCCCAGCAAGAACTTCATCAGTCTTAATGGTTTCTGAATACTTTATCTAGGCTCTGTAAATGATAGGTAAGACTACATATATATAGATGTATGTACATATATCTATATATATGTGTGTGTAAAGTTCATCCTGCATAACTTTAGGGGATACAGGTGCTTCGCTTTATGTTTTGCCATTTAAATAATTTTTTGCACCTATTTGAACCTACACTAATTAATGCAATAAAAAGATAAATCCCTAATCTTTTTCAGGAAAACATTGCTACTCCTATGCATTTCTACATAATATGTTTTGACACATATTTACAAAATATAAACGTAGAACATGTGTCAGTTTAACATATTTATGTACATACGTTCACAGACAGATTTTACCAGCTTTGTCCTTACTTAAAATAAATATGAAAATTTATTTTAGAAGTGATATACAAAAATCAATCTTTTATTTTATGATTCTACCCAAGAGGCACTATAACTGTGTTATGATTTATTAAAGGAAAATGAAGAATGTTTTTTTGGTTTTTTTTTTTATTTTTCAATAAGTAGACTCACTCACTGGAGCATGAAAAAAAGGTGCAAAAGCCTTAGAGTGAACTGAATTTGCATGTTTTGGCTGCTCGGCGTGACCTGGATTTCATGCCACTGGTGGCTCCTCCAGGTCTTCCTAGAGGGGAGTTTTCATCAGTTTCTGCCACTAGGTGTCCCTATATGTGTGCAGGAAAATCCTGATGGAGACATTAATTGAAGGAGGAGTAGAAATTGAGCGGGAGGAGTAGAAAAGATGATAGTAAACTTCCTTCATGATTTCGAGTTCTGTTTGACAACTGTCCTTCATGTTACTGAAGAGAAAATATGAGTGGATTCATGATTGTGCAATTATACTTCAGAACAAACTTTTTTTAAAAAGAAAAATGGAAAATAATAGATAAGGCTCTTAGATATTATATAGTCTTTTTGATATTATGTAGCCTTTTTGATACTATGTATTTATATTGATATTATATATATATATATAAATCAGAAAAAGTCTTCTAAAAACATTTCAGTCTGGTTTATGTTTGGTAAATTTATTATAATTTAAAAATTATTCATACCATTTGGTATAAAAAAAGGATTTTCATGTAGTAAACACAATTAATTATGTATGTCAAGAGTGATGAAAAAACGTGTGCTGTGATTAGCTTCTCTAGAACATCTTGATAAATGGGATGTTTCAAGAATTAAGAGCCTTTGATGGATTGTACAACCCTCTAACCCTTACAATTAATGTTTAAATAGATCACTAGTAATGGAAAATAATGTGGTTTAGACCCCAATTCTTTTCATAATCAAGTGACTATTAAATGTTATGCAAACATTCTTCCAGTGGGACCATTGTTTAATCAAAGTCAGAAACTATTATGACATGAAAGCTTTTAAAATTATTATTATTATTACCTGATGATAATAATAACAAAAACCCCAATAAAAGTAAGAATTAAAGTAGATGTTTTCTTTCAGTAATAATAAATAGGATACTTGAACAGACACCTCAGAGTATTAAATAATCATTTTCTCTGACATCAAAATGTACAATGAGAGCAGGATTATACTGATATTGTCCAGAAAACAGGGTTGTTGAGTAGTGTGTTCTCTTTTTCAAAATACAGACCTTTACTTAAAAGACAAGCAAGCAAACAAACAAGCTTTCATCCTTCTCAATACCATTCAAAACATTACTAGAGAAAAGCTACTTTTCTGAACCCATAATTCCGAGTTTACTTCTCTTGAACTTGTAGAGAACAATAGCTCTTTTTTGGGGACGTCAGCACTGTTAAACACTTTACTTCTGGACTTCTGTATCACACATAGTCTAAGAATTTGGAATTATGGAAAGAGGTTTTATTCTAAAGGTATTTACTGGCAGCATAATTTTGTTTGAATGTCTCTACTGATTTTAAGGGAGTGATGGTTTGAGCTCATAGTCTTCTAATGCAAGAGTGAGAGTGTTGCAAGTCCATTTCACTGAAAACTTGTGCCTTGGTGAATTCATTAATTAATCATTATTCCTCATTAACCTTGTGTACTTCAGCACCAATACAGTAATCTGGTATTTGTTTTGGATTTCCACTTGTCTATTTTAAATTAAGTTAAATTTAAGCATATCTCCTCAGTTCACAAGACTGAGTTTTCACAGACCAAAAAAGCTATGAGACAAATTTATTAAAAAAATTAAAAGCTGTGTTTAAAGATACTGTGGTGGGTTCCCATAGTCTTCATACCACAGACTGGGATTAGGCTACTATGAGTATCTATTGCTTACAATGTTTTTACTGTAGGCAATGGAAGGAGAAGAACTGGTGCTTTATCATTCAATGTGAAGAAATACATGAGATTTGTTAGCAAGGGATATTAAACATTATTGTGGGCAAGTGGAAAACACAAATAAGAGTCTGTGTTTTATAATCACTAAAATAACTGAGTAATACAAGTGTTTCATTAGTTTCCCAGTGAAGCTATGGGTTTCACTGAAAAATGGTAGTGATATATGTCATAAAACTTCTATATTGTGCATAGTCCCTATATAAAGCATAAAGATATCTTCCAAGACACTAAAGATACATTCTATTGAATAAAAAGAAAACAAAGTTGTCATAACTGTATGATATACCTTAGTTAAGAATATCAAAATGCCCTGCAAGCATTGTTTATATGATGCAAGATATACAAGTTATAATACACCAAGAACCTTCTCACACCTTTTGGTAAAGATCAGTGTAGAGTTAGAATCTTCAGAGGAAAAAAATTTTGAAGAGCAGTTTATCTCTGCATAGAGAAGGTGTGAAAGTTATGTCTTAATGTAATTTCAGCTCTAGATTTCTATACATATCCCTGTGGAATGTAAACATCCTACAAAGCTTAAGTAGAAAGCCACATGGGGTTTTGCTATGTTTATTTCTCTTACGGTGGTACCCAGCAGCTGCAAATGGCATTCTCCACTAGACATATCTGATCAGGTAGCATCAATCCACGGTGCTGTTCTATAACCTGTGACTTAGAGAAAATAATTTGGAGTGAGAATGTCAGTCTTATTGACATCCAGTGGTAACTGAATAGTGGGAAATTACTTAACTGTACTTGGCTGCCTGTAAATTTGAGGTCACGGTAGAAAAAGCAGATCAAAGAGAGTTGAAAGGGAATATTATCCCCAGTCTTTATTTCAGGAATGGAAGGAAAATTACATCTGTTACCTGAAATGTTGCATATGGAATGTCGAATACCTTATTAAATTTATTAATTTCTCAGAGCTCCCTTTCGTATATCTCATCCAGAATATGAATCAGGCTCCTAATATAATAAAATGTTGGAAATATTTTGTGTCCTTTTACGTCTTCCTTCAGTCTTTTTTTTTTGTTTTGTTTTAATGCAAATTTATTGCTGAAAATTGTGGCAACAAAGAATTTTAGTAAATAAGAGTATCATGCCTAAATTATGAAATCTGCCTTGCCTAGGATGAGCTTTAGCATTTGAAGTCTATATAAGTTCTTCTGAAAGCTTCAAGATTTGTTAAGAAGCTGTCTACATTTACACAATGTTATCTACTTCTGAAATGCATCTATGGAGTTCTAAATTAAATAAATTTAATAATTCCTTCCAATTGAACAATTTCCCAACTATTGTAGGAGAAGCAAGAAATATTTTCATAGTTTTATAAAATGAAACTTACTTTTTAAAGGCAGATGAGCACCATGTTTTGAAATAGTCTTACTAGGCAACCATGCATGGTGTCTAAATCAGAGTAAATTCATCTTAAATACTGTTCTATGGATAGTGATGTGAGATGGGCATCTCTCAAGGATTATTCTCACTACCTGAAGTCTTCTCTAAAATACATGTCCCTCTCTACCAGTTGAGGGGATGTAATGCATTTAGCTTAGTTCCTGCTGCCCAAAGTCGAGTGGGCTTAATACATACTTGGTGAATGTTCAGTCAATCTATAAAGCTGGAGATACCAGAATATAATTGTAAAGAGATAAAAATGTATTTAAACTTTGAGTCATCTGTAGTCTTACTGACATAGGTAGGGCTTTATGGGAAATACAGTCCTGCTAATCATGAACCGGATAATATTTCAAAATTCAGACTTGCATTAGCAAATTTCTTTTAAAAACTTTATATTACAGAAAAAAACCCTTAAGTTATCTTTCAAAAACTATTTTGTATTGTTGCTAGCAAGTGCTCATGAAAGTTTCTGTACAACCAAGTTTAGTTTATCCAGTTATATCTGTAATAATATATATTTCCTGTTTGTTTTTCTGTTAGATTTACATGACTGAATACGTGGTTCATGGAACAGCTTTCAGGATTGATGTGATAGCAGACCTTTGTATCAGAAAGGGGTTTTTCTCTGTTTCTTTTTTTGCTGTTATACATTGATTAAAATCTCATGTAGATGCTGTAATAAGAAATCAATTTCCTTGCTTTTTGCTTACATTTTCTTATAAAATAAATTCCTGTTTATTCAACAAATTACATTTAATTAAATGAGCAGATTAAATTTGTATTTTATTTCCTTTCATTACATATTCCTTTGTTCTTAATAATATTTTTAGCCATCATTTTTTTTGTTTGCATACACTTTATAGAGCTCAGTGGTTGACCTTCACACCCAAGATGAAATGGAATAAGTGTCTTTGTTATGCTGAAGGCAAAGTATAAAAAACATACAAGAAAATGTTGTCATCCCTTGCCTATTAAATTTGCAGATGTGACAGGATATTCAGAACAATAACTGCATGTGATTTATCAGTACTGACTGCTGACTGCCACAGTTTAATTTGCTACACTAACACCCAAAATGCTACTGTAAAACATAAACCTTTTGTTTTGCATTCCTCTCTTTGACAAAAACTGATTTAATTGACTAGTGTGTCGCATGTGTTATCTTTATTCCAAATTCCTTGCTGGAAAAATATAGTACAATTGTGAAAAACTTTCTGACCCTTCTAAATATGACAAGTATAGAATCTCTAGCCATTTAACATATACTTCTGCTTTCAGCATACTTTCCCAAATAAAGACTATAT